AGCAGGTCGAAGACCGCGCCGTCGACGCCGCGCTCCGCGGCGATGTGCAGGGCCGTGCGGCCGCCCTCGCGCTCGGCGAAGGTCGCCGACGCGCCGAAGGCGAGGAGCGCGCGGACGACGTCGAGCGCGCGCTTCGGGTTCGACCAGAACCACTCGACGGCGACCATGAGCGGCGTGCGGCCGCGCGCGTCGAGCGCCTCGAGGAGCCCCGAGGCCGCCGCCGTCGACGACACGTCGCGCGCGAGGAGGTAGCAGAGCACGCGCACCTGCTGGTAGCGGCAGGCGAGGTGCACCGCGGCGCCGCCCTCGTTGCCCCGGTGCGTCGCGTCGCCGCCCGCCTCGCGGAGCCGGCAGACGACGCCGACGTGGCCGTGGCGCGTCGCCCACTGCATGGCCGTCTCGTCGAGGACGCCGCCGTGGCCGTCGACGTCGACGCCGCGCCGCAGGAGCTCGTCGACGATGGCCAGGCGGTTGTTGATGGCCGCCCACTGCAGCAGGGAGCAGCCGTCGCCGTCGCGCCCGTCGGCGTCGACGGCGCCGGCGTCGAGCATGGCGACGACGTCGTCGTGGCGCCCGTACTGCGCCGCGGACACGGCGCGGTCCATGGCCGCCGCGGCAGCGCTGACGACGACGCCGGCCACGGGGCTCGCGGAGGCCATAATGCTCTCGTGGAATCCTCGAGCGCTGCCACCGGGCGGCGCGACGCCCGCCCACTCCGTCGCCCCGCCGCTGCGGACCGCCGCCTCCTCTCTGGCCGCCGACGCCGCGGCGGCCCCTCATTCCGACGGGGTCTAGTGTCGTAATCGTGCGAGCGGGAGCCGCCGCGCGCGTCACGCGGCCCGGGGCCTCGCGGCGCGATGCGCGCGCGGGAACCCCGCGGCCGCGGCCCCGCGCGGTGCCGTCGGGTCGCCGCGCGCCCGCGGCGTCGTCGAGCGCGCTATACCTTCTCGTCGCTCTTCTTCTCGGGGCACGCGAACTCGAGGCACGGCACCGGCCCGCACTCCGGGTTCGCGGGCGTGAACTGCGGCGGGGCGGCGCGGTGAGGCGCGTCGCGCGCGCGA